GTAAAAAATTACTTTTCCACGTAATTATTTCTCAAATGCGAAATATTATACAACTAAATTGTATTACTATAATTATAGTACATTTAAATTGAAATAGGGGCCCCTGTGGGCGCCCATTTAATAAAGTACCGTTTTGGTTAAGTCTGAGATGGGGGCCTTATAAATATCATTGAGAAAATTATGGGGGGGGGGGAATTTAAAATTTGTCCCATTAAAAATGCCATAGATATAGCTTTTTTGAACTATCGACATTTCTGTAAAACTCTAGATTGGATGTTATTAGTTTTAAATCCACCGAATTTTCAATAGGGACTATGAATGGAATTGCTACAAAGCTAGTCATAGATCCATGAATTCACATGGAACCTATATTGTCGTCTCAGTACCCATTGGTATTTGAATATGGCTAGTTAAGTGTGTGTACTACGTTTGGTCAAGGTCCATCATGTAGGATCTACTCAAGTAGGAGTATTTATTGTTAATTTTATTTATATAGCTAAAATAAGAAATATACGAACCCCTTAGGAGTTCCTTTTGGATAATGATGGACATATGTGCCAAGTTTTGGTCAAGATCCATCAATCCATTTAAAAGCCTTTGTGGAACAAACAAATCCACAGACAAATTTTCACTTTGATATAAAGATATATAAACATATTTATGTATATATATATGTATTATAATATGTATGTATATATATATATATATATATATATATATATATATATATATATATATATATATATATATATATATATATATATATATATATATATATATATATATATATATATATATATATATATATGTGATATATATATATATATATATATATATATATATATATATATATATATAATATATATATATATATATATATATATATATATATATATATATATATATATATATATATATATATATATATATGTATGTATGTATGTGTATATATATATATATATTACAACTAAGCTTTAACTACGTAAACATCCCGCAAAAGTCCCACTATTAAAATTCATGTTAGGATAGTCCAAATACGTTATTCAAAGTCGAAAATGTGCCTTCCCTACGAAATGACATTTAGTTAATGCGTAATGTTTTTTTCACATATGAACACCGTTCCTCTGTAAAAAACCACTAAAGTCTCTTAAAAATGATGGCTGACGTTTGACTGTCTAAACAGCCCTGGTCAACTCCGAAAGTACATTGCCTAAAATAGTACAATGGAACAGTACAATAAAAAATGCCTCAGAATAGCCAACGCCCAGACGAAAAGTACACTCCGATTGTACTTTTACTTTCAACAAGTACAGAAGATCCCTGGAATCCCCTGTGTCTCAGACATCACATCCAGAGACGTTCCTGGGGGAGGGGGGTAATATAATTGACGTTTGCCCGCCCCTACCCCCTGTTCACGATTAAGTGGACAGTTAAGGAGTTACGTAGCCGACTAGAGCACTCACATTTCCAGAGTATAATTTTTTCCTACAATACTGATTTGACCCCTGGGGTTCATGTCGATGAAATTTAAAGCCTCAAAACGAAACGCTCTGAAAAGTATGAACTGAGACCCTTGAGCAGGTGTTCTCAACCTTTCAAATGCCACGACCGTTTAATACAGTTCTTCACGTTGTGGCGGCCCCCAACCACAAAATTAGTTTCCGTTGATACTTCATAAGTGTAGAGTACATGTGTTTTCAGATGGTCTTAGGCGAGCCCCTGGGAAAGGGTTTCTCAACTCCCCAAAAGGGTAGCGAACCACAGGTCGAGAACCGCTGTCCTAGAGGCTAAACTTAAATCACACACAAAAAATTTTGTGGCGTTTTTAATGGGGATATTCTTCTAAGATCTTTATTTCAATAATGATAGCATAGAAAATGAATTGAGAAAGTGGGGAGGAAATAAGGTTTTTTTTTTGTTGTTGTTTTTTTAAATGGATCCGGCATTTGTAACGTGAGCACTTATGAGAACTCTTTAAAAACATCGGCTTTATTTTATTGATGTAATCAATCTGTAAGTCTGTGCGTGTACAGATGGGATAGAAAAGTTCTCCCCCCCCAAAAAACGGACCAACGCATGATGAATATGGATGGAGAATAGGAAACGACCAAGAATTGTATTGTCTATATCAAGCTCCCCCCTCTAGCGGCAGAAATAATGAAAATGTTTTTCTTATAAACCCTTTATAAAAATAGAATGTCCAGCGTGGTTGCGGGGGTGGGGGGGGGGGGGGGGCTGAAAATTGAACAAAACCTGCATTCAAGCAATGCACTTTATAAGAAGCCCATTTGTGCCTAGCCCCACCCACCCACCCCCCACCCCCCAAGGCTTGAAACCGCACATTTTTTACACCACTGAATTATATTAATATTCTAGTCCCTCTCCCCCCCCCCCTTTTTTACACCGCAGATGTATTTACCCAAATGTTTCAAATAAACAAAAGAAAATATTACGCACATAACGCGATATTTTTTAAGAATAATATTTAGCGCTGTTAACGGTAATTTTTTATCGTGAAATCCGCGTCATCATAATGTCTTAATCTTCCACTTTGAAAAACAGGAAACACTTCTTTTAAGGGGTTGGAGGATGGGGCTTAAAAGTAGATAGAATGTTTTGTCATGGGAAACGAGTCGTTGTGCCAAGTTTCAGCTCGATTCTTTGACGAAAGTGGGTCAATTAGCCGTCCGAAAATTTTGCCACACATCAAGACAGAAAGAAACGCACGAACAAAGGGGAAGTTGACATAAAGGATTATAAAAAGGGCCGGCTGCGCAGGGCTGGCACTTGGGACAATACCAAATGACATGAGGGTTCACCACCAAAACCCCAGAGAATAACGGCTCAAAGGCAGACTGACCCATTCTTTTATGAAAAGATAACATAGAGAGGGATATACAGAAACTGCGAATCGAAGCAGAGAAAAGAAAATCGTCAATTAGGTTTGAGTGGAAGGATGCTGTAAGGCACGCCAAAGCCCTACATGGGTTGTAGCGCCACAGGGATGGATGCGCATATGACACACTACCTAAACTAAGTTCTAATGCATGATTATTAATTGACTTTGCTTTTAAATAATGTTTATTTTCCATTTGTACTGTTCCCTTCTTGCTGGTACTGTGGCCGTTTTCTTTCTTCTTCTTTTTTTTCACCTTATTTACCCTCTTCTTTGTTTTATAGCAGTCAACATATTACACTTTTATTTATGTATAAAATGTGGGTGACTGACATAGAATAACCGCAGGTATTTACCATCATATGGACAGTTAACGGTAAAGCCTAACAGCTGTCAAATGTTAGTCATGGCAGCATCATTTATGGAATATCAATAAGCTGTCCAAGTAAAATCTTCTTCGATGACCCTCGAGTCCGCTGAAGTGACATACAACTCAGGGTCCCTTAGACAGGTTAACACCTGATCCATTAGTGTCGTGAACCAACTTTGAAGTAAGCAAACATCCATGGCATCATTTTATGCCCGTCACATGGTGGAAAATGAAATAAATTTGGACACAGGCCAGATCAGAAAGTGACAAAGATTAAATCTAACTTTTTTTTTTTTTTTTTTAAACTGGACATGTCAAGGAGTCATGCGATATTATTTCTTTTTACCGACAGAGATTTCATTGAATACAAACGTAATCTGTATCAAATTAACCCATTAATTGGGCTCAATTAAAAAAAAAAAAAGGAAGACTTGCGTTCGTTGTTTTGATTTATAACATCATTGATTTCATTCGCCATTCATCCGTCTCGGCTTTCTGGTGCAAGGGGACATTAACCGAGTTCTCGATATATATATACAGAGAGACAGAGAGAGAGAGAGAGAGAGAGAGAGAGAGACAGAGAGAGACAGAGAGAGACAGAGAGAGAGAGAGAGAGAGAGAGAGCACAAACACACACATGCACACAGACACATAGACAAAAGAAAAAAAAAAAAGGGAGACTTGCGTTCGTTGTTTTGATTTATAACATCATTGATTTCATTCTCCATTCATCCGTCTCGGCTTTCTGGTGCAAGGGGACATTAACCGAGTGCTCGATATATATATACAGAGAGACAGAGAGAGAGAGAGAGAGAGAGAGAGAGACAGAGAGAGACAGAGAGAGACAGAGAGAGAGAGAGAGAGAGAGAGAGCACAAACACACACATGCACACAGACTCATAGACAAAAGTGGGACGGACGGCTTCAGAGAAGGACAATAAAAACTTTGACATCCAGGCTAGGGGGAAAAAAAAAAAGAAGGAATCAGAAATAATCTAAGGGCAAGTAATCCAAGGTAAAATACATATGGATTTTTCAAACCAGCTGAAGCAGATGTACACGAAATTGACAGTAGAGATAAATAATGAGTCATAAATGGGCAGGAATGCAAGATGGGGTCGGGTCGGTTAAAAGAGTTTAGTGTCAACTCTTCGGTAAGTCTGCTGGCTGAAATTTAAAAAGTGCGTCTTGAAAAAACTGCCCGAAGATTGCAAGATTGCGAGGATCTCATTCGTTCACGGAGCGTGTCTTACGACCGTGTATCAATGGATGTCATTGGTAACGGCACTCAGAACTAAAGATAGAAATTTTTTTTAAACGAGCTATGGAAATAACTGATCATACACTTGTAACTGGAACAGAAGAACATGAGGCGGTATTTAAGAAATCCACCACAATGTTAGCTGCGTAGAAGAAAAGATTATCATACATTGAAGTCTCAAAAATGTCTGTATGTTGCTCATTTATACTTTTTTAAATTAGGTAAAAACGCCAAACCATAACTGTAGATTTGTTTTAAGGGACATTTTTTTTTTAAATGATAAAAGTGATAACCAGATTAAACATCTACAACATACAACATCGATAATAATTCAGCTATAGTGTATATATTAAATATTTATCTGTTAGCATACATTGGTAATATGGGAGAAATCAGACGGGGCTGATGAAAGATAACTTAGCGTGTCCGGTGGCCACTGAAAAAAAACCCACAAACTTGGAGTAGATGGAGACACTTACCTGTGGAATGCTTGCAACTACGGCCAACAGCCACGAGACGACCAGCATCATCTTGGCACGCGTGTCAGCGTCCGTGATCGACAGCGGCCGCATTATGGCAAAGTAGCGGTCCAAGCTGATGGAGACCAGGATACACGAGGACAGGTAGAATCCAAGGGCCCTGAAGAACATGAGCAGACGGCAGGCCACGTCTCCAGCCTTCCAGGCCACGGTCGAGTGCCACGCTATCTCCAGGGGCAACATTACGAACGTCACGATGAGATCGGCGATGGCCAGATGCATTATGAAAAGGTTTATGCGGGACTTACTGCTCCTGTTGCGGAACAGGGTTATGAACACGGTGAGGTTCCCGCAGGCGGCGATGATGAATAGACACGAATAGGCGGCGACGGAGACGGCGTTGTCGTCGCCGAAGTAGAGCGCCTTCGGCAAAGGGGGGAGGCACTCCGTGAAGTTCGCGAGGACCTCGTCCTGCGTCAGGTGGTGGCAGTAGTTCGTGGTGACGTTGACGTGCGCGGGCGAGCTGCTGACCTCCGTCGACTGGCCCACGACGACGACCTGCAGCTCGTAGGTGGGACCCTGAGACCTCGGGGTGGAGGTGGGTCTCAGGGGTCCCAGGGGGTAGCTTTGTGGGAGCTTCGCCGGTGCGCCCGGCGGTAGACTTGTGGGGTTGGTGCTGGTCGCGTACGCCGCCGAGATGATGGCCGAGAGGATGGAGGACAGCGCCGCGAAGGTGGCGACGACTCGCTGAGTGTATTGTCTGGAGCGACACACGGACATCGTGCGGACATGGACAAGTTGATACCGTCCTGGTGGAAATCTCCTGCGTCACATCAACTGATTCTTTCACTGTTCTTAGTTCTTTAGTTGCAGTTTAGTTGGGTTTTTTTGGGTTTTTTTTCAAACAGATCAAAAATTTGGAATGTTTGTTGCGGTAACTATAGACCTATGACTTATATCATCTTGAAAAGGTATTTCTTGTGTAGCCATTGTGACATGAGTCATGGAGTGGTGAGTGAACGCTGTTTTTCACGCGGCTAGAGATCTGGAAAAATAACATTATAAAAACAACATATTATTAAACGCAGATAATTTTATTTTTTTTTAAATTGAGAAATCAATATTAGTCGTAAGCTATTCTCGTTATTGTAAATATACCAGCTAAAATATCCTGAGTTTCTAGGGATTGCATTAAGGAAAAACAATTCTGCAGGGGCATATGTCAACAATGAAAATAAGGACTCAGTAAGAAAAAACATTTTTTAAAAAAAAGTAATAAGTTTTGTAAAAAAAAAAAAAAAAAATGTTATATGGACCAAACTAAAAGTTAAAAATGTCCCACCAATATAAGATATGGGCGTTTATAATTTGAAATAAAGTGGGATCCCTGTGTGATCCCGTTCCCCGGGAGGATTTCGTTTCCTATTCGGATATCATTCGGTGGTTCGAGCCCTCTACCTGTTGGATCTCGTTCCATGAGGTACACTTTTAGCTATCTCAAAGGGATGGCTTTTTAAAAATCATTCAAATTAATTTTCAAGTTAGTATTTATTTATATTGATCTCACTAGATTAAATTCAAATTGGATTCAATTTCCCAAAGATTTTGCCTTCTGAGTTTTTTTTACCATGAACCACTGTTATTTGAAAATTTGTCCCACAAAAATCGCTTGAAAATACTGTAATCTAAGCTTTCAACTCTATGTACTTATTTAGCTTGTGGCTTTAAACGAAAAAAAAAAGAGATCATTTTATATAAACTTAAAAAATATGTGTCACTCGTATGTCATGACATTTAAGGACACTCACTAACAGTTATGAAAATCTACTAAAAATAATGACATTTGTATAATTTTAAAACCCCGAAACAGACAAAATAAAGGAGATCTTTCTATTTGAAATCTTAACTTTGGGTCCCTCGGTCCGAAAATGAAGTGGATATTATTAGGTTTAAATCCATCGATAATTAACTATGGATTATGAAGCGTAAGGGCCTAGATTGATCATTTCCCGTAGAAGGCTGCACAAATGACCAAAACCCTAGCAGAGGCGCCGCATTCGACGGTAGTTACTCTCAAGAGGCGTCAAGCTGGAAACATAAATTAACGCTCAACACAATGTTCTCCTGTAATGAGCAAAGCTATCTCACGCCCCACGCACATGGAAGACGTTTATAGATATTATGTACCAATAAAAACTGATATTTATTACAAGTTTTTAGATGCTCGTTATAAAAGCCAGACCTTGGAGCTGCAGTGGGAAAAAATCATGATTTAAAAAAAAATATATATATATTCTTTAGCCTATATACAGAAAAACGTGAATTTATCCAACGTGTATCTCCGAATCCAGACATTTCCCCATGACCAGAAATGCGTTTCTCCCACTTTACAAAATCTCAGGAACACAGATATATAAAAAATACTCAAATCCTTCCTTTTTACCGACATCTGACTACTTATTGTAAAAGGACTATGTTTCTCTAGTGGAGACTCTTGAGAGTATTTCTGGTAACGCTGTCTAGAGAAAACTGTAACACTGTCCCCCTATTCACTAACACTGTAACACTGTCCACCTATGCACTAACACTGTAACACTGTCCCCCTATGCACTAACACTGTAACACTGTCCCCCTATGCACTAACACTGTAACACTGTCCCCCTATGCACTAACACTGTAACACTGTCCCCCTATGCACTAACACAGTAACACTGTCCCCCTATGCACTAACACTGTAACACTGTCCCCCTATGCACTAACACTGTAACACTGTCCCCCCAAGCACTAAGAACCCTACACACTCAGCACTAGAACACCAACACTTCATGAAATAAAACGGTTCATCTTTGTCTGTTTATATGTTACACTGATCAACCTGGTTGGAAAATATCCTCGGCAGAGCAAACTATTAAAAAAAAAAATCTATTACTCGCTAAGTTTCTCATGAACACTGTTCGTAATCAAATGCCCCTGAACTCTCTCTATCTCACCACGCCTAATGTTCACACACTTGTTTAGTATGCTTTGCTGTCATTCAATGACCATTTAGCCACGCCAATACAACTCATGGTCCAACTCACGGACCAAAAAGTGTACACACTAACGACAGTGATTCTCGTACCCTTGACACTTATAACACACAACATCCAATTATTCTAATAAGGATACTTTTTCTGATATAGCGTATATATGGAAAGATGGAATTGGGACCCTTGCCTCTAAAGAGCGGATATTATGAGTTCAGAACCCATCACAAGTTGTGTCAAGGCTCATCAACCCATATAGATATGTATGCGGAACTAGGAGGCATTCAAACAGACACATTTTCACGTGTGTATGTATATATTGTATCTATCGATCTATCTATCCATTAATCCATCCATCCATCCATCCATCCATCCATCCATCCCTCCGTCCGTCCGTCCGTCCATCTTATCTATCTATCTATCTATCTATCTATCTATCTATCTATCTATCTATCTATCTATCTATCTATCTATCTATCTATCTATCTATCTATCTATCTATCTATCTATCTGTCTGTCTGTCTGTCTGTCTGT